CCCCCAGATGGTGCACATCTCACTCATTATGTAGGTATATATCCGCCCCCCGGCCTCCCCCCACCCGCCCAATTGAATTGAAATCTTTAGGAACATGGTCAATGGATTTGACATTGAAATAAGCTAAATAAGCTCCCCAGGTGGTTCCCAGTGGTGCTGGGCTGTGCTTCACCCGAGAAAGGGTCCCAGATGGACGCTCTTCCTTCTGCCACACTTTCCCTGTGCGCCAGTCCCTGGAGGCACCCGGGCCGTGGGCTGGGGGTATGGCACTGCGGCGCTGCTGTGTGTGCAGGTAGAGGGGACAACACAGGGCCGCCCTCAAGCAGCCCCCTGGTTGAGGAAGCAAGACCCACACGAGACAGAGAAAATAGCACGCAGCATGTACACAGGGGCTGGCCCGGTGAGCGGCACAGATCAAAGTGCCTTGGAGGAGGAGGGCGGGTGCCCGTGGAGTGGCAAGTGTCAGGGACGCAGTCCCTGGAAGGTGATGTTCTCACATCTCCCTCTGCACAGGAATGATCGGTTGGCAACATGTGAGGACAGGGATGCCAGGAGATGTGAGGATCTGGATCGAAACTTATCTTAGGGTTGAGACTATCTTTGAGCAATGTATCGCTTTTGTCTTTATCAAAAAACAAATTTTGTGTTTTCTGAAATTCCTGTTTGCTGTCTGGGGACGTGCTATCGGTGCCTGACACATTGACACCCAACAAAGGCTTTCTGGCTTAAAGGTTTCAGATGTTCTGTGTTGCTCAGTGGCTGCGGTGACTTTATCTCTTAGGAGGGAGGTGGGGGGGTAGCGAGGGGTGGGCCCAGCCGGTGAACAGCAGACGCTGCTGGCGATTCCTGAGTCTGGCGGGTTGAGCGTTGATGTTGTTGTTTTAAGTGGTATTCATCCAACCTGTCTTGCAGTACACATATTGATCCCGGCCCGAAAGACTTGACAGGAGACTATATGGAAAAAAATATGCCAGGGCTCTCCGTGCAAAAGAATGTGCACGGCGCGGCAGAGCCTGCGGCGAGTCCTGCAGACTGTGGGCCGTGCGTGCGCTTGCCCGGCTGGGTGATCTCTGCAAATGACCTGACTTCTCTGAGCCTCGGTTTCCTCATCTTGCAGATAGGGGTCGTTAGAATACCTATCACATTGTGCCGTGATAAGGATTAAATAAGCTAATTAAAAAGGGAGTTTTAGAATGGTGCCTGGAACATAAGTATGCAATGAATGTTAGCTATCAATATAGTCTTTTCCACCCAGATGAGTGATGTTCTGCGTGTTTACTTCAAACAAGATATCATGGCTGTTCTCTAAGGACTGTGTAGTCACTAACAAATCCATTTTCCTTATCATGATCTGTATAGCTCAGTGATTTTTCTGCTCTCTGCCTCCAAGCTAAGAACAGAGAGCTTCGCCTCCCGGGCTGCAACGAGGCGTCACCCAGTGCAGGGCGGAGTGTGCGACTCTCGGTCCGGAGGGGGCCGGGCGATGGTTGCAGGGCGCGCCTCCCACCCCCAGACTCCAGGTGCGACAGGCTGGGTGGGTGGCGATGTGCTGTCCTTTTCTGTCCAGGAAAAGAGGGCTGTGCTTCACCTGAGGAAGGGTCGCTGATGGACGCTCTTCCTTCTGCCACGCTTTCCCTGCGCGCCAGTCCCTGGAGGCACCCGGGCTGTGGGCTGGGGTATGGCTAAGGTGGCTCGTGCAGTCTGCTGCCAGCCACCCTCGGCGGGCTTCACAGGCGATGGTCCCCAAGAGGGAAGGGGCCACAGCTCCTGAAAGGACACGTCTTCTCAAAGGGTCTCCCTGTGCTAGTGTCTTAGAGTGGGTTTGTCCTGGTGCCTGCACTTTTAAAATCATGTTGAAATGTTGACTTCAAGGAGAAGGGAAAAATGTCAAAGAGGCAGAATTCGCTGACTCCTATTTGGGGATTAGTTCTCTAATCCATATTTTTTTCTAAACAACCTTATAGAAACCTACCAGAGATCATGAATAAAAGCAGAGCTCCTTGGCCGAAGCGGGAGTGCCGCTTTCCAGAGCCCCTGAAATATCCTAGATTCCTCTGAACCAGCCTGAAAACCGCTTTCACCTGGGAATCCTCTTTGCTTTCTCAGCTGTGCCCTGCTGCCAGGCCTCTGTCCCCTACAGGGTGGACAGGGTCCAGGAGAGAAGGGATCGCTCCTGCCAGAACTAGGCAGGTGTCGTTTTGGGGGATCAGTGCAGACCTCTTAGTGCAAATGCGCTGCTTGAACTTGGCTTTTCTGCACTGTCCCTGTATCTGACTGCCAGAGCTGGCCAGGGACTAGGCAGGTAAGTCGAGCAGCTTGATGTGTTCGTCTAGACCACCGCCTGGCCCGCTCTAGTAGTCTTCTCCTCCTGTCCACGTCACTCGGAGGACAGGAGAGCAGCAGGAGGGACCGGAAGTGCTGGGCTTTAGGAAGTGAGGGCGAGCCAGGTGCGAGACCCACCCAGGAGGCATGGGCTTTGGCAAGGGAGCCATGAACCCCAAAAGTCTCCATCTTTAGACTTTCATGTCAGCCTACGGCCACCCCAAATTTTCTATTATTATTATTTTAACATCACATTGGCCTTATTTTTAAAATCTGCTGCGCCGGAGCAATTTTGTCTGACGTCAGCTGGCTGCCGGCAACTCTGCTTGAAAACAAGAATAACCAAATCTTCTAAGGAGTAATGCTGAACCTGCTTTGAACGCAATAAATCACAAAAACCATTGTTTACAATAAGTGGTATCTGATTGCTGTTAGAACCTGTGTTTATTGCTTTTGTGCATTATGGTCTCTTGTAATTTGGACAGCCAGAAATTGTATTCCTTTATGCAGCGCGTAGGAAGGGTTTGTAAGGAGGAAGGCATCTGTAATTATGCTGCCAGGGAGTGGGACTGGGGAGCCTCCGAGGAGCATGAAATGCAATTGCCTTTCCACTTTTCCAGTTCCTGGAACCTTCTGGGCTCTGGGCGGGGAAGGACAAAACAGAGGGGGCCTTGGAGCCAGGTTGCCCCAGATCAGAGTGGCCTCAGAAACAGAGCAGCAGGTGGGTGGGCAGCCGCCAGCCCCGCAGGAAGCTGAGCTGATGGTTTTCCTGGAAATTGCCTTGGACACCCCTGCAAGTTTCTTCCCTCATTCTCGCCCATTCTAACAAGTGCCTACTGGGCTTTGTAGGCGAGGGCTGACGGCAGGGGCTCAAGAACAGCTGGTGGCAGAACTCCTTGGTGCCTCTGTCTGCAAAACTTGAGAAGAAGCTCCTTGACCCTGTGGCCTGGATCTTGCCATCGTCACTGAGTGTTGCTGGTGCTGAGTGTGGCTGGTGTTGCTTGGTTTTTTTGAGGCTCTATTAGAAGGAGTGGTGGTGTCTGGGCGTGCCAATCCATCATTCTCCTAACCCCAAAGCTGTGGACTCTAAGAAGGGAGTCTAGTTTTGCTGTCACTGAAGTAGACCTTGCTGCACCTGTCCTTGCTGCTTTGGCATCAGCTGCTTCCTCCACCTGCAATGCCCTTTTCTGTCTGTTTCCCTGCGTCCAACCTACCCAGTCGTCCAGGTCCTGCACTTCCACAGAAGACTTCCCTGAACTTCCTCCTCCAATATTCTCAGTCTTGGTAGAGTGTCACCACCATCCACCAAGTCCCGCAAGCCCCAAAACGAGGTTCATCCTAGTCGTGTCTCTTTCTCTCCATCCCAGCACTAGGCCCAGCAGAGGCATTCGGGAAGTGTTTGTTGAATGAATTAATGAACTTGATAGTCAGCCGACCGCCAGCTCTAACCAGAGTCACCTCCTCAATGTTTCTCCAAACTGTTCCTCTTCCCGTTCCTACCTCCACGGCCCTAGAGAGAATCCTTATGGGTTCTCCACAGGACCACCGCTGCAGAGGCCATTGAGCCACCTATCCCCTGGCACTCTGGGACCTGGTGTTCGGGGTCATGTCTTGGTCTCTGCCCCTACCCCACTCTCTCACTTGCCTGTTTTGCCCCCATTCACCCCAAGTCGCTGGCAGTTCCTGGGCACACCACACAAGCAGTTGCCCACCTGGGTTTTCATTACAAAGGATGCTTTCTCTGCCCATAGCACCCTTACCCCTCCCCTCTTCACCTGGCTCCCCCTCTTTGGAGACTAGGCTCCTCCAGAAAGCCTTTTCCACCTACACCAATGGGTCTTGGGGGTCCCTTGTTGCTGTTCGCATGGCTGCTGTGTCTTTCTACGTAACAACTCTTATCACAGTCGTAGCAAACTGTCGAGGTCCCCTGCCCCCGCCGCAGGCAGGAACACTGCTATGTGTCTGAACGTCCCCAGTGCCCAGCACAATGCCTGGCCCATGGCAGGTCTTCTGTAAACGAGAATCTAAGCAGAACTGGCACTGATGCTCGCATAGCACACAAAGTGCAGAGAGTTCACCTGAGCACCAAACTGTGCAGTCTCATGTCCGATCAGAGCAAGTCCATAGATGGCTCCCAAGCAAAACCACAAGGACTAGGTCTGACGAGTTCCAGCCCCAGTGGCATCTGAGCACAGTAGACATTTCTCAGCGGCGGCTTCTTGAGTGGGTGGGTGGGTGGGTGGCTGGGTGGGCACAGCAGAAGTCTGGTCTGACACGTTGATTGACAGTTACCCCACACACAGGATGGGAGTAGTCGAGCATGCTTTATTAAAGAGATTAGTGAATCAATCGTGATTTCAAAGCTGTGGCTTCTGGTCTGTCTGCCCAAGCCCTGGTATTAATTAGATACTGAGCTAGACAACAGGGTCCCCTGTGTCCCCCAGAGCTGAGAGGGTTCTCTGAGGCTCCTGGGCTTGAGCTTCTATGTGACAAGTGGCCCCCAGCCTGGCTGAGCAGTAAAGGAAGTGGGGAGAGAAGCTAAGGCAGGGCTGACTTCCAAAAGACCCTTGCTCCTGGGCCACAGGCTCCTACCGGACAGGGTCTGGGAAGGGCTGACCAGGAGCACTGGTCAGATGACAGCACGCGGCACACAGCCCAGCACTGCTCAAGGCCAAGCGTCATGATGCCCAGATTTGTTTATTTTAACAAGCCTCCCTTTAATACACAGGTGCGCACGCACTGGCATGGCGAACTGGCCGAGCTTTCCGCCAGCCCCGAGAAACAAAGGGGACACGTTTTTTCTCTTCCTCTTCCCATCCACACAGCAGACCCTCCGGGGACAATGCACATAATTCAGGCCTTTGTGCCTTGGCTCAGCACGCTTGATGGCGATTGTATCGGCCTCTGGGGTCTAGCCGGGCGGCCCCATGACCACTGGGGGCTTTGTCTCTGCAGGGAAGTACATTCGGAGTTACAAACAGCTGACTTCCTGGCAGACTTTTGGGGCCAGCTGGCCAATCCGCAGATGCTCCGGGACCCTTGTCTGTGCCTGTCCTGGGCACCAGGCAGGCGGAGGAGGAATTTCTAAACAGACCCCCACTTACGAGGCCCTCGTGGTCTGGGCTGGGCTGGACAGGCGTGGAGGGACTCCCCCAGGCCTGGGAGCAGAACCAAGTCTCGTGTGCGTACCTGCCGTGTCCCGTCCAGCCGGTGGCTCGGAGGACAGAGGAGGACAGAGGAGGACGGGCTCGATGGCAGGGGAGGCAGAGTGGGCTCGCCGGGCTGGTGGCTGACGTACCTGGAGCAGGAGCCGGTGGCCGGCCTGTTTGTCAGCTGCGGCGCCCTGGGCAGCCTTCCGAGCCCGGCGAGCGGATGCGGGCAGAAAGCGTGCACTCCCGCGCCACCGTCAGCGTGGAAGGCAGCGCAGTCTCCTCTCTCAGTCACTCTCTGCTAGCCCAGGGGCCGCCATCTGCTGACTCCTTTTTCCTTTAAACTTAGAAATATAAGTAATTTGGCAGAAACTTGTAAAGGGAACGTAATTGATATAAAATGTGAAAGGATCGGCCTTTCTAGAATCTTTTTCCATCCTTTCTGGGTGCAGATGCAGAGTGGATTCAGGACTGTCTCGTGCTTCCCGTTTTTCTCCTAATGGGATTTACAGGTCTGTGTCTCCGTGTGTCAACGGGGTCTGCGCTGGCTGGGCGGACGGCTGCCCGGGGGCCCCGTTGCTAGACGGAGTTTGCTCTGCAGCTGCCAGTGCTAGCAAGCTGGCCGGGCCCACGCCCGCCGTGAGACACGCACTTTAGTGGGACGGCGTCCTGCCTCAGATGTCCCGTGGCTTTCCGTTCTTGGAGCCTTGGGAGGTTAATGAGATGAAAAGCGATGGGTATTTTTGTTTCCCTCAGACTGCTCAAGTTCAAATCTTGACTACCTACGGCAGCGACTACCTGGACAAGTCATTTTTTACCTCTGTCTCAGTTTTCTCATCTCTAAAATGGGAGGATGAGAAGACCTCTTTCACAGAGTTACTCTGAGGATTCAATGAGAGGAGTGGGGATGTGGGAGGATTCAATGTGGGGAGCAAAGTAAATGCTCAAGAAAGGGGAGCGTAGACGCAGTAATCCTAGCAAATACCGATATTGTCCTTATTCTGGGAAAGCAAGCAGGCCAGTGGCCGGGGGCTCACCTGTGGCTTTCAGGAGCATCCAATGAGCTCGTGCAGGCCCCGGCCTCGGCCGGAAACACCCTTCCCAGTCCCGCTGTGGGGTCAGAGTGGAGGACACATGACAGTCTGTGACTCCTTTTCTCACGTGACTTTGGCCCTTTAGGAGTCACCTAACTTTCTCAGGGGATTTCCACTGTGACCCGTTTTTATTTTCCTTACTTAGAGGTAAAGCCGTAAGACTTGGAGCCCACCCGGTTGACCCCTGGGAGAAGGCAGGGGTCCTCTGGGGAGGTTAGGGGCAAGAGCCCGGCTGCAGAGGTGGGAGGACCCCCTTCCTGCAGGAGGTGCTCCCAGACTCTCAGCCCTTCCTCCCCTCCCCTGCCGGGCCCCTCCCTGACTCGGGCCTGTGCTTCTGCCATTTCCTTGGCCTAGAAGGCAGCCCAGAGGTCTCCCAAGGCCCAGGCCCAGTCGCCTCCTCTGGGAGCCTCTGTGTATCCCCTCCACCCTGGTGGGCACTGTCCCTCCTGGGGGACCGTGTCCCATTCCTTAGCACCCTCTGGCCTGTACCTGGGATTCCTCAGCCCACTCCCTGCTCGGCCCCATCCAGAGCTGCCCACACGGCACCTGTGCCTGTCCTGGGCCCCACCGTCCCTGCCCACCATGGTCACTCCTAGCTCTGACCCCCCCACAGCTGTCTCTTTCCTTTCTCCTGTCCCCATATCATGAATCGAATAACCCCCCTCCCCCCCCGAACAGGCATCAGAAGCAGCCAAAGTGTTCCATCTCCTTTGAGCTCTTGGGGAAATGATTTCTTTTTCTCTTTATTAGTGACTTCTCCCAGGCAGTCCTTAACCCGGAGAAAGGCCTGCGCTGTGGGCCTAGCGAGGGCGTGGCTGCCAAGCGGCATGTGGAGAGCCTGCTTGTTTCCTGGAGTCCGGCACAGACCGTGCCCTGAGACGCACTTTCCGGGCTCGGGGCCGTTCTGAGGCTCTGTGGAGCCTGTGCCCAGAGGCTGTGGCAGGAGCTGCCGCCGCCAAGCCAGGGTGGGCTCCCTCGGCAAGCCGACCGGCCCCTCTGCTGTCAGGCCTGGGCCCATCCAGTCCCCAGCCCTCCACCAGGGACGCCTTCTCCAGCCAGCTCCAGCTCCCACCTGGTAGGCCTTGGAGATCCCCCAGGGCCCCTCTCCCTTCCTCCTCCTCCGCCTCCTCCTCCTCCTCCTCCCCCCCCTCCCCTCCTCCTCCTGGCCTGGACATTCTCACCTGCTAGCTCAGCCCCAGAACACCACCTTCCATGGTGTCTAATAACTCCCTGCCGGCCAGTGTGCCAAGGCCTCCGACAGCTGCTGCAGCACTGTCCCAGCCCAGGCCAGCCCCACAGCAGAAGTGGGCTTGGGCCCAGCCCATTTGCGGGCTGTCAGCAGAGAAGCCAGGTAAGGGACAGCAGGACAGGGCTGAAGACCTCCAGTCTCATGGACTGCAGCCCAGGCAGGGCCAAATCCCCCTGGAAATGGGGCACCAGGCAGGGCTGTGCATGATGTGAGTTTTGTTGGGCTTGGCTTGTGGTTTCATGGGATTGGGGCGAGTGCTTGAGCCACCTAGGACCTCAGTTGTCCAATGTGCACAATGGCAGGGCTGGACGCAAGGGAGCCTGAAGGGGGCTTTCAGTCAGCCTCTTGTGATTCATTGACTACTTAGAACAGAAACAAAGCCTTCGGAGCCAGAGCGGGGAGGCGAGAACAAAGCACACTGTGTCAGTTTGTGTTGGAAGCCAAGGAGTGGACGCAGTGGAATTTCCCACCCTTTGCTGGAGGCCAAGGTCAGGCCACTGCCTGACCCCTGTTCCCTGGGCCCTGAGACCCGGCACCACCAGAAGCCACCGGGAGGGCAGGTGCTGGTGACTAATTACACAAGCCTTCTCTGGGGGGCTATTCACACCCTAGCACGGCAGGGGAAACAGGCTTCCGTATCACGGCATGTGGAAGTTTCCCCGGGCTTTAAGGTCATCTTTTCATACATTCCTTCTTAGTACAACACAAATCTCATTACAGAAATTTCTGTATTTTAGCAAAGGAACCACAGCGATAGTAATGAGATCCCCGAATAAAGTTCAGTTCATTTTCATCTCTCTTTCTTCCCCGAGTATTATTGCTGGAAATGTTACATTATCATACACCAGAGTTCAGGATGCATATAGGGTTTCAACAACTGTCATTTTTCTCCATATACAAATTCTAATTACTGCCTTCATTTTACCTCACTCTAGTGTTTTCATCTTCTTAGGTTATTTTTCTTTGCCTACCCCAAGCGACATACCCAAGCCGGATTATTATTAACAGAATCAGGAGAGTTCATGGTGACATGTTCCTGTGTCTTTGCCCCAAGTGGGGAAGGGGCCTGAGAGTAATGGGGGAGGGGCATTTCCTCCAGATCTGGGGACTCCCCAGGAGGACCCTCCCTGTGACCCCAGAGAAGGCTCTGGGCCTAACTGCTCCTGGCTGGCCCTAGCTGCAGGAGGGAGGGCAGGGGGCTCCTACGCAGCATGCTTGGAGGTGAGTTCCATGCACTGCAAGTTTCCAGGTAGACTTTCTTCCCCTCGACCATGTCAGAAACCTGTGGCACGATGGATGCTGTGACTTCACACAGGGGGTTCAGAGTCAGGGCCTTCTCCCTGGTGCTCTGTGGCTGCAAGCGCAGCCTGGCCAGGGCCCCATGTGCTGGTATCGGGGCCGGCTGGGCAGTCGGGAGCTGCCCGGGCCTGCTCAGGCCCTGCCCCTCCCAGACATCCGTACCTGTTCTCCGCTGGCCTTTGTCTGAAGGCCCCCTCACTTCCTCCCCACGCGGGGCAGGGGCTGAGAAACTGGCTCTGGAATCAGATCGCTCTCTTTCTGAATCCCACTACCGGTGTAAGCTTAGGGAAGGGCCTTCCCTCCTACGTGAGATCCATCAGCTGCTGAATGGAGTTTTGTATTGTAATAGTGACAACCACGTAGGGAGGATGAAATTGGATGAAACACTGCAAGCCCCTTTCGCGGTGCCCAGGAGGTGGTGGAGCTGTGCTGTCTCCCTCCCTGTCCCCACACTCGCTTCCAGTAGCTTCTCCTCTCGGTCTTCCTCTCCCTGTCGCTTTTATCCTCACCAAGGCTTTAACCTTCTTTTATTTTAACCATGTTGGGTAAACCTTTCTCAAGGGGGGCTGCTCCCCGCTCCCCAATTCCACGGCCTGCTGGCTTCAAGGGGACATCCTCCGGGTGACCCAGGCACCAAGCACTTTGCAGGCAGCCTCCGCCCCATAGCTAAGATAACTACTTGCATCCCCCTTTCTTGGGGGGAAACAGAGGCTCAAAGAGTTTAAGCAGATTGCTCAAGGTCACCCAGATGATAAACACCAGAGTCACTAAGCGGCTCTGTGGAATTCCAAAGCCTGCGCTCTTACCCAGTCCGTGGCCTTAGCAGTGTCCTCTGTTATGCAGTGCTGCGCTGATGCTCAGGGGTCCCACGGAGGAAGGTGGGACATTTGTGCCTGAACTAAATGCCCAACGCTTGCTGCACCTGCTGCGGCTGTGTGTCTGTTCTTCACAGATGCTCTGCACCCTGTTAGTCTCATCCATTAAACTTGCTACGGTCCTCGTTGCTGCCTGAAGCAACAGCAGCCCCACCACCTGCTACGGACCTGTTTGTTAGAATTGTGTGCAAAGGAAGCATTCGTAGGCTACAGACAGGATGCTGGGACTTCCCTGTGAACATCAAGCTTCTGCTCCGTAAGACTCGTCTGTTTGGTTTGTTCTAAGACTCTGTTCGATTGCTTCTCGACTTTTGGTTATGTTTGGGATGAAGGAAGGATGAGTGCTCTCTCTGGACAGAGGAAAGGCCTTTAACCTTTTTGAAACTTGACTATAAAAAAATGTCCTTTTGCAAGTTTGGATAGGCGTCCAAGTGGGGCGGGAAGGTCACGTGGGTCTTTCGGGTTCTCTTTCCACAGAGTGGGCTGGGAGCCTGGAGTAGGAGATGAGAAACCCAAGGCCCAGCCTCTGGGAAGGGGGTGTCTTCTCCTCCAACCCCAGCCCTGAGTTTGGACCCCCCAGGTTTTATTCCGGACTCCACTGTCCACTCTCTCTAGATGGCCTAGTCACCGGCCACCCCAGGGCCAGGCTGTGTACCCGTCAATCGGACACACAGCGCCCCTCTCGCTGCCCCCTCAGAGTTTATGCAAAGTCAGTCCACCCCGTGGAGGTGCCCAGTGCCGTGCAGATGTGGACTTGTGTGGGCTCGACTTTGTCAGTGTCCCGATTGCGGTCCCCTGGGAGCTCAGCACATGAGCAAGTGCTAGAGCTTTCTCTGGAAGGCGTAGTGTGAGAACATGTGTGCACCGGCCTGGTAGGGACATGTATGGGCATTTGGGGGGAGGAGGCATGGTGCCCGGAACCATGGGGGCAGAGGCATCCTGAGCTGCCCGGCATGCTAACTTCCGCCAGTCCCTCGACCGGCACTGATCTGCATTTTGTTCGGCCGGCTCCGAACTCGGGAAGCCTGCTGCCCCCAGTCAGTGGCAGTGCAGTTCCTCTGTGTTGGGCCAGGGGCAGAGGGCCCACATTCCGGGGGAGAGCAAAAAGGGAGCATAGGTAATTTTTAGAGCACGTTTTCCACCCTCCTTTATGATCCACCCTCCGTTCTTAAAGCAAAGGACATAAATGCTAAACTGTGGTTCTTGCCAGGGCTGATAAGAAAAACCAGTGAATGCAGGAGTCTCATTAAGAAAATCCTAAAAGTTTGGTCTTATCGCCACTACAACATAATACAGTAAGTATGTTAATTCTCACCTCCCTCTGCTGCCCCCGCTGAACCCCTTTCAGCCAAGGCTGCAGCCTCTGCCGCTACAGACTGAAGTCCCATCTGACTTGGAATTTTTCCCTCGCCTTGGCTTCGTGTCACGAAGCTCCCGTTTGAGTGGACACGGCTTTTCCCCTCACACTTCCAGCTGCCCCTAGAGCCCTTCAGCTCAATAAACGCAGCTGATATCCCTACTGTGTGCAGGGCACAGTGGTTGGAGCTGGGAAATGTCAAAGTCCAGCTGAGTTCATCCCTTTGCGAGAGCCAATAAGCGGAGGAGAGAGCAGTGATTTATAGGCCGAGCCTGCCAGCCGGCCTTGTCCCCAGCAAAGACGCATTTCGACAAGCTTCTCGTCCAAGTGATTATTTGCTGTTTGTACCGCGTGGACTTGGCACGCTTCTACAACTCCTTTTACCAAAGAGGAAAGAGGAACCTTGAAGTAAGTACTTATCTCGCAAAGAGAAGATTCTGGACCTCTTCTGGCAGCATTGCTCTGTAATGCGAATGCATTTTTTTTTTTTTTTGCCAGCACGCCTTCCTCTTCCAAAGGCCTCCCTGTCTAGGGTTCTTCTCCCCGTGACACCTCTGTGCAGTAGGTAGAGAGGAGGCTGGTGCTCCCATTTCTCAGGACAGGAAGCCGATGCCGGAGCGGGCGACGGCTTGCCGGGCGCTGTGCCTGGGAGTGGCAGAGCCTGCCCGGGCCCGGGTGCCCAGCTCCCCGTCTGCGTCTCTTTCTGCTGCCCCGAACCCGGAGCTGGCGGGCAGGGCAGAAGACACGGCCATGGCACAGGCACCCGCCGGGTCTGCCCCGGCTGCGGGGGCCTGAGGACGGCCCGGGGAGCGGCCCCCCGAGATGCTGCGCCTTCCTGCCCTGGCCTCCCGCGAGGTGCCCACGGGAGAGGCTGGGCCGCAGCTGCGCGTCTGGGTGACGGATGTTCGCGGCTCACGGGTGGGTGGCTCACGTGCGCCCCGGTGCCAGGGTGGCCGTGTGGCTGGCAGGCCGGAGGGTCGGCGTCACATTTCAGCAACATGATCTTGGCAGAGCCCAAGTGAGGAGGGAGGTGCACACGGGCGTTGTGGCCTTCAGCTCGCAGGGGGTGTGTGGAAGGACCAGGCGGCCATGGGGACCCTCTCTGGTTCTACCTGTTCTGGCCCTCGTCTGGCCTGGCCAGCTTGCTCAGGGCCAGCAATGCTGGGTGCATGTCCCTCCCCAGACTGCAATAAGAAAGCCAGGTTTGAAAGTCAAAGTTTCTGAAGGGCTTTGCAGTGAGCAGAGCACATTTCGTATGAAAATGTTGCCGGGAAACAAAAGCCTCCCAGTTTCCTTGCCTCTCAGCGAAAGAATTGGAAAGTCTTTTCCAAGTCAGGAGGGAGGCAATTTATATTTGTCTGGGATCTTATTTAAAAGTAATTTTGCTCCCTGTAATTTTTTTATCCAAACTCTCTCAGACATTGGTTCTCAGTTGGATGACTTAGTGACCTGCGGAATTTACTGCCATTCTGGCTCGTAAGAATACACATGCTGTCACTTTTATTGAGTGTGATTTGTTTTTAAAAGATTTCCCAGAGCCAGCCAAGCACCCTGGGTGCAGCTCTGGGGCAGGTGCTGGGCGGGGGGGCCAAGCTCAGGACCTCAGGGTGCTGGGAGCTAAGTACTCCCGTCTAGACATGTAAGAGGGAGGAGAAACCAGAGAATACTTGAGCGCTCAGGATGCGGGATAAGGCCAGGCCTGTGCCCAGAAGAGAACTTTCCCTTTGTTTCGTTGCCCACTGCTTGTCCCTGAGCCTGCAGGGCCAGGAGGGCCGGGGAGACTTCTGGGGTTTGGCCCGGAGAACTCCTTTCTTCTTCTTTCCTGCTGCGCCATGTGGCTTCAGACCGTGACATTTCTGTTCGATGCTGTCACTGCCTTGGTTTGAAGAGAATGTCTGTGTACACGGGTCCCTTGGCCAAGAAGAAATAGTGCCCGGAGCCGGCTGGCATCTGCTCTTGCCCTGTCTCTTCCTCTCCCACGTGACCAGCAGCCAAGGGACGGTTCCTTCCAGCCAGGCAGAGGGACTAAGGAGGAGGCGGTGTCGGCCAGCCTGGGCCCCAGGCCGTAGCGTGTGCCTGGCTGAGGCACGCGTCTGCCCCGTCTAGAAGAGTAAGGCCCCGGCCACTCTGCTTGGAAACTCAGTAAGCAGATAGCTGTGAGCCCCAGCCCGCAGGGGCCCCCAGAGAGGGCCCACCCGCTATTTTTAGAAAGCTATCAGGTGCGCAGGACACAGAGTTGCCTTTTTCCACCTGTTGAGGCTCATTACCGGCCCCGCCTGTCCTGCCTTAGAGCCGTACTGCAGCCTGGGGCGACACAGGCCTCCCTGCTGAGGTGGCCCAGTCATGCTGCTGGCCTCGCCTGGCCATGGCAGGGGGTCTCACAGAGGTCCCTGGGCCATGGCCACTTTGTCCTTGGAAGCACGGTGTTGGACACTAAAGCATGCCCTCCTCTGCTTCCTTGAGAGGAAGGCAAGGGTCGGAAGGTAAAGGCAGGTTGGGAAGGATCGTGAGCTGGGAGCCCACCGAGAGGGGTGTTGAGTCACCGAGTGGGAGGTTCCCGAGCCTTTGTTCTAGCAGGAAGGTGCACAGAGTGGCGTTTACCACCAGCAGAGGTGGGGCCACGTGAAGCAGGTGGCTTCACAGACGCAGAGGCACAGGAGCCCGGCCGCAAAGGGCAGGGCTTGGGCAGGCCACGCAGGAGGGGCAGAGGGAACCGCAAAGGCTGCACTGTTGGCCTGGAAGTGGGACAGCCCAGGGTGTGACAAGGAGCTTCGAGGGGCGTGAGGCTGGTGCAGGAGCCTCTGCAGGGACAGGGGAGGCGGAGGAAGTGTTAGGTGGGGCCAGGTGTGAAAAGCCACAAATGCCAGGTGAGGTGTTTGGACGGTGTGCAAAGGATGGTGGGGAGAAGCCACTGGAGGTCAGCGCAGAGAGACAGGAGCCTGTGGCCCGCGGCCTGCTCTGCCCACGCCCACCAGCGCGACGTGGCTCCTCGTGGCTCGCAGAGTGCGAGTGTGGTGAGCTGGGCTGGCTCCGCGACTCCCAGGACCTGTCACTCAAGTCTCCTCCCAGCTCCACCCTCAGTGGCATCACCTTGGTAGCTTGAAACAGCCACACGGGAGCATTTACACAACAGAGACCGGGCGCTACCCCTCAGAGTCTAGTATGTTAGTATGTTTTGTTTGTTTCGCTGCCACCACCGTCAGAGCCGGGTGTCACGCATTGGCCAGCACAGCACTGGGACGTGGGGAGCCCCTGAAGGTTTTATGCCCAAGAAAAACATCGTCAGATCAGCAGCGCCCGTGCTGAGCTGGCATGGTGCGGTGGTGGGCGAGTGTCCTGCTCGATCCCCTGTTAGGAGGCCAGAGGTGGGGTGCGGGGGTGGGCTCAGCCTCGGGGTTGGGCAGCCTCGGCCACATCCTGAAACCAAACTCCTTAACGTGGACATGCCTCACACGGAGGACACACGTGTTTCCTGCTTCATCACCTGAGCTGCTTTCTAAATGCGACCTGCTTGTCCTCCCCTCCAAGGTTGGCACGTGCTTGTCCCTCCCTCTGGATCCCCTCAGCCCACCCCCTGGCAGGGTAGCACGTAGCGCACCAGGTAGCGTGTGCCCGGGGGCGGGACTCTGGCCCGTGGGACGCAGCACAGAACCCCAGCCCGCAAGTCTGTAGCTCTCCTCCACCAAGAGAGTGTGGGAGCCCAGAGCAGGGAGGAGTCACTTTCCTGGGGTGGGTGGAGGAGATGGCTGGCTTAGAAAGCGTCTGAGCAGGGCTTACAGTTTGTTGGGCCTCTGAGCGCAGAGCTGGAGTCTTTCTCAGTGATGCATCCAGTTGGTCTTGACTGCACGGTGAAAGCAGCAGCAGTTGTTCAACGCTTTAGAGCTACGGAACACTTAGTGCACAGAACCCTCCCCAAAACCTTGTTAGATGGATTGTGCTCCCATTTTGGAGATGAGAAAACTGAGGGCCAGTGTTGGCTGACATCACAGGGCGCCAGAGGAGCAGCTGGTAGTCCCCAGGCCTTGACCCTGACTCCTGAGGCCCGGAACCCAAGCCAGCTCCCTGCACCGGGGGCTTTGGGCCATTCAGCCCGAGCGGACTCAGACGTCAGGAGCCGCCCACCTCCACCAGGAGGTCAGGGCGCAGGGCTCCGGGGCTGCCACAAACCCCATCACCCCCAGCCCTCCAAGACTTGCCTCTTAAAAATGGGCATTAGCCGTGGCGATGAATACGCTGTTGCATTTGTTGCTCTTTTGGGAAAAGAAAAACCTGGCTTCTAAGAGCTGTTGTATTTTATTTTTCTGTAAAGAAGAAATTAATTTTAGTCTTTCTTTTTGGTTTAAAATGTTGTTCTTTGCTTTTTCCGCCCTACAATTTAAAAGGAAACATTTGTCTGTTGAGAAAAGAAATGATAATTATAGACTAAAAATTGTTTCTATTCTGATTTGAAAAAGTGACAAAAAAATAAATTCCATCGCACAGATGGGGCTCTGCTGACGGAGGGTGTTTAACAATGAGGCCCTGGCCCGTGTGGGGCCCGGAATGGCACTGAGCTGGGTGTGGGCTTGGGTGCCGCTGGGGTGCAGGGCTGTCCCCGAGGCTGCTCTCCGTCTCTGCGGCCAGTTAGAAACTCGTTCCCGTGGGTCTGGGCACTGCACCCTCCATGTGGGTCACCAGGGGGAGGAAGAAGATGTGACTGGAGACGTCACCTGTGGACCCTGCGGCCGTGCTGGGTGGGCTGTGTGCAGGACAAGACCAGGTGCTCCCGTGCGTGGCCCTGAACCCAGAGAGCCGCCTAGCTTTATTCCCTTGGTCCAGAATTTTACTTTTCAGCCCCACAAAATTACAATCGCTCCAAGTCCTTCGATCAATAAAGCAGGAAACTGATTAGACTGTGAAATTAAAGTAATAATGTCACGCTATTAACCCTCAATCAATGGGGACTGAGCTCAAAGTGAAGGCTATTTCCTAAATCCATATTACCCTTTGGATACATGTATTTACTTTTTTGAAGAAATCCTAGGGGCGTGCACATCCCCAGACCGCCTTTCTTTCCTGCTAACACAGCGCGATTCCCAGTGCTATCTCTGCGGCCACCCTGGCGGCGCTGCCGTGCGTGTGGTGTGCGAGGCCAAGATAGGGCTGAGTGCGTGGCGTGTTGGCTGGGGCGGGGCAGCCTCTTGGGCCTTCGGGGGCCGGTGGGTGGGGCGGCTCAGGCCTTCTGTGGGGCTGTGATTCCTACGGGCCCCTAGCCACCCTCAGCCGCCCCTTATCACTGGGAACCTCTCTTTGAGGTTGATGCCAGGCCACCCTCTAGCAAGACCTGGAGTCCAGGTGTGTGGTGCTGAACGGAGAGCTCCTTTTTAATCTTGCATGCACGTGGGATTCACGCCACCGCTG